ACTTCTAAGTTTCCTTTAGCGACCCTGATATCCATGTAGGATTGCCTGTGTGTGTGACCATTAATGAAAAAGTGTCTGTGGATGCAGCTTCTAGTTTTAAAAGTTGCAAAGTGCTTAGGCAATAAACTAGAGAGAGTGCTTACCAACTTGAAAAGCCACACAGTGCAATTATTTTGTTGCAACAATTATTCAAAATTGCCAAAACAGTTTGGCAGCACAGTGAATCAAGAAGGGTGTAGGTCTGAACCTGTCCAAAGACACACCTTTTGGGTTAGCTGGAGATCCTAAAGGAGCTGCTGGTGTGATGGTAAATGGTTGTTGTGCTCTTTGTGGACTTAATAATAATAATAATATCAATAGATGTTGGATTTTTGATTTTTTACATTCTGCTACTTCTGTGTCAAGCTGACCTTACTAAATGAAAAGCTCCACATTCTCTTCCTATGCGTAATCTTTCCGATACACCACAAGTTGATGGACGAGTTATCTTTTGCACACAATGTTCTGAATGTATTCTGGGAGCATGGCACAACTAGTCTCAATAAATACTCTAGACTTACAATTGCTCTTTCCTTCCTGCTGTCTGTATGGTTGTTTGACCTCTTTGCAAAGGTAAATAAAACTCAATAAATAAATTAAAATTTAAAAAAGAAACCTGGTTGTTTGCATAAATTAGCACCAGATGGCTGTTAAAACATCTGAACCTAGATGAAGACAGTGCTATCGCTTGGCTTTTGAATGTATGGCTGCATAGGGTCAAACACGTACTTTCCCGGTGACGTTTAAGTAATCAGCAATCAATATGATGAAGGTGCTTTTGAATCAAATATTAGATTATACAGGACTTTATAATTTATGGGGACATATCTGATATCGTGAGGTAGGAAAAAAGGAAATCTGAAATGTAACAATAGCCTCTGTATAAGTTACAGAATATTTAAGTAAGAGTTCCAACAGGAAAAGGACTTGTGTAGTTTAGATGAATATGTTTATGCACACTCTGTAGCTTGGGAAAACTTGGAGACAAGTATCAACACTTATCTGAATGTAGTTATTTTAAAGACAGAAATATCTGCCTGTGTGTTTTAGGTTGAGACAAATGCATATATGATGGAGAAGTTGTCTAACTCTGTGTTTGCACACGGGTAATTCGGCTTGTTGGTATATTTTCTTTTAGCCCAGAAGGCATCTAATGAGATCGATTAAAGCAAATGAAAATACTGCACTGCATCCAAAAGGACAAGAACTGCCTGGACCTGCAAAAATGTAACATATGTAGCTAAGAGGAAGTAGATGAATTAGAAGAAACACCAACCCCTAGACACTTGACTTGAGTAGATCAACACATTGTTATTACAGCGTTCCCTCTTCTCACAGTCACATGGATCAATTATCAGTTACTGGGTTTGTTTTACAATATTTGGCTTTGAACTGTGGGATTAAATTGAAGTATGAATAGATGATGTTTAAAACTTAAAGTGCCTGTACAAACAGCATTATAAGACTTTGACGAGTATGTCACCAAGCTTATGTCACAGAACAAGAAACTCTTTGTGCAGTCATAGGTTTACCACTAAAATAATAATAATAATGGATTGGATTTATATAGCGCTTTTCAAGGCACCC